AGATTTACCCTGTTTTTCAAATTTTGATTTACTCTGTTTTTCTTTTTTTGGTTTACCCTGTTCTTCATTTTCTGATTTGCCCTGTTTTTCATTTTCTGATTTACCCCGTTTTTCATTTTTTTTATTTTCCCTGTTTTTCATAACGGCATAGAAGGTTGGAGCCTACTTTGATCCACTGGATGAAGAAGCTCGAGGTGGATTTTCAGATTTAATGGATATTGGGGGTTTAGCACTGGCTGCATGGATCTGATTATGGGATGCAATCTCTTAATAGCATCCCAAGATTTTGACTCTGGTGGTCTAGGAGATGATAAGGGGTTAGATCTTGCTAAGGTAAAAGTAGAAGACTCTCTGTTCTACTTTAGCTCTGGTCTTACCTCTAACTTAGATTTACCCTGTTTTTCATTTTTTGATTTACCCTGTTTTTCATTTTCTGATTGACCCTTTTTTTCATTTTCTGATTTGTCCTGTTTTTCATTTTCTGATTTACCCTGTTTTTCATTTTTGATTTGCCTTATTTTTCATTTTGATTTGCCTTATTTTTCATTTTGATTTAACCTGTTTTTCATTTTTTTGGTTTGCCCTATTTTTCATTTTTTGGTTTACCCTGCTTTTCATTTTTTGATTTACCCTGTTTTTCATAAGGGAGCTTATGTCCAATTCCAAAGATGGTGTATACAGAAAAGTTATACCTCTTTCAATTGTGTATTTTTTATTGGAAGTAAGTTAAGCTTATTTTTTTCTCTTATTATTGGAAGTAAGTTAACCCATGCCAAACAACTTGCCCATAGAGATTGTTACAATATTACATTCAACTGCAATGCCAAAAATATCAACTACCTCAGTTTGCCATTTACAATTTGACCTGCAACATTGGGTTTACTCTTGGGTTCTGTGTGATTTACTGCTGTGTGAGTTGCTGGGGGGTTGAGCATGAGTTCTCTTTGGTTATTTTCATAGTTCAAAGCAATCTAATTAACTTTTTGTCTTGCTAGGTTCTGTTGAAAGACAGCCTTTGAGGAATGCAACCAAGGATCAATGCTCCAAGGGTTCCAGGTAGTCCTACTACCCTTTGTTCAGCCTTTTGTTATTCAATTGTGTTAAAGCATAATGAACAGACAGCAAGATATGGTAAAACTAATATCCATGCATATATGCCAACAAAGTTTATATTTCCTCCAATACAACTTATTCTGCAATTCTATTTTTAATTCCACATAGTAGGGTTTATGAATATGTGAAATACAATACATGCCAAAAATAATGTTCTGAAATATGCTGAAATCGGTAATTGTAGATGATGTAGTTCATAACCCAAAACTGTTTGCATTGCATTCTGTGCACCGCACTGGTGACATCATGATGCAGGGAAGGTAGGGGTAGAACAAGCAGAAACTAAGAACTCCTTAGATTTTCAACTTTAAGTTTATTCTCAAACTAAAATCACATAACAAAAACTGATTTAGAGATCTAAAGATAACTATATATACTAACAGTAGCCAAGAATCCTAATTCAATACTAATTTGAACTTCTAATAACCTACTAATTCAAATCGTAATCAGAAATCACAAACTATCCATAGTGACTTTTTTAAAATTATAACTTAGACTCCAAATAAAACTCAAACTAAAACAAGTAATTAAAAAAAACTTCATTCTCCCGCATCACGTCACTCACCAAAGATGTCTCCATTAGCCTCTGATATTTACTGTTGGGGTGGAATTTAGATGAAGATTTGGTGGGTGCTGAATGCTGGTACAATCGGGAATACAGAAGCATTACACACAATTAATTCAAATGGTGGGGTCAGCACCAGGATGGTTTCTGGGTGCTGTATTTGAGCACCATATTCAACTAGGCACCTGAGTCTTTGTAACCTGTATATGAGGTCTATGTCTTGCACCAATGGATTTCCATGGTGTTTAGAAAATTTCTGTTGGTCAAAAAATTTTATACAAGTTAATAAGATGAATGAATACAAGTTATAAATAGAGTTTTTAAAAGAGGAGCTTATAGTTTACTTGATCAAAGGTATGTGTTTCATTCGTAACAAGGGAGGTAATCTCAAGTGAACCATTTTGTCTTGCTGTGAGTGTCACTAGGTGAAGTACATTCAGCAGGTAGTCTGCATAAAATGAAATCAGCTTATTAGTGTGCACATAGTAAATTCATCAAAAGAAATAAATGAGGGGGCAGGGGGTTAAAGAGTAAAGGTAATACGCCATGGGTGGTTGTGGAAGGGTCCAAAAATTCGTTGAAGTTGATCCCTCAGAACAGCAGTATTGATCCTGATGCTTTGCCTGTGTTGATCGAAGTTTAAATTTAGGTTCATCGGTGGTCCCAAATGTCCATGTTTATAAATTTTGAGTGTGTTCATTGCCCAGTCTGTAACAACATGCTCCTGCATGTTTGGGTGGTTCTTCACATGAACCTCAATGTAAATTTGATTATCTCTTCTGAGATAATCTACCTTGTCACACAGCCCAACCACATCCATTTGGGCAGCATGTACAGATGAAGGAACTTTTTGACTGTTGGGATGGACCACCCAAGATTCGACCTCGTTATTTGGCCCTATCACTGCCATACAGAGGTATTGGTGGTTGGCAAAGATTTGAAAACAGCTGATGTGTGTGAGTGGCCTTGACGATAGCTCAAGAAAGTCCAATCCTTTTTTGAAGTTAGGGGCACCACCTTGTGCAATGACAAGTAGGTTTCTAGAAGTAGCTACCTCGTTGTCTCCCATTTTCTTGCTCAAAAGCTCCTTTTGACCTGAAAATGCGATAATAAAATTTATTATTACTAATACCATGAAGGGCAGTATTCAAGAAGGCTAAATCCCCAAATCCACTCTCAAATAGAGGATAGGGAGAGATCTCGAGATATAAGTCATGAAGGCTTCTTTGTAAGTATGTTAACTTCTTTTGAAGTGTAAAGGTTTTTCTAGAAAAATGTTGGAGATCATCTCTTGAGCTTTCTTGAAACTAGAATAAGATTTAAAAAGCTTCTTTAGGGAATTGTAAAAGGAATTACATCCTAATAAAGGGTTTCTTTGAAACCATAAAAAGGACTGTTGTGATTTTGATGTGTTAAATGTTACATGGATTGCATTATGGTAAACCACACCACACTTTATCACATTCATTGGAATTAATGTTGGTGGAGATATTTGATATTTGTGATTATGAGGAGTCTTGTGTTGCTAGTATATGATGACCACACAGTTTAGTAATGGTATTTTCATTGAACAAAATTTTGTGCTAAGATCTTGATTTATATTTGTAGCCATTAAAGTTATATTTGTTGTATTTGACTCAAGTCATTTTTTAAAATATGTTTTTCAAAATTTTAAAATCAATTAGCACTGTTCAAGTGAGAAAATGTTAGAAAATTTTGTGGGTTTTTGCTAATTGTGTTTGGTATTCAAAATTAGGTTAAATGAAAATCCAATAAATCTTAATAAAGTTGTGTGACCTAAGTGGGTTTAGGTTTTATCTTAGTTTTATAGTGTGATATGAATAGGTGTGATATGGTGTGATGCGAATAGGTGTAGGACTTGAAATTAAAGGCAGATTACTTGATGGGTGTCCAAAAGATTAGTATAATGGGTGGGTGCCCTTTCCCATTCAGAAAATTCTACTTCTATAAATAGTAGAGTTAGGAAGTGATATATAGTAGAGTTAGGGAGTGATATGATCTATTAGTTGTCACCATACAAAAATTAAATAGAAAGAGAAAGACCTAAGTCTCAATATTAATCATATTTGTTTTGCATAATGAAATTATAATGATTCTTGATGAGTTTTGGGTAACATACTGATTATAGAGTTTAAGGTACACAATTTATTTATTTTGTTATATCTTGGTATTTTAAATTTTACATATGTTGATCCTTAAATTCTAACCAATTTGGCCTTGATTTTTTTAAGGAGGACATCTGTAGCTGCTGTCCTATTTGAGGGTGGATTTGGGGTTTAGCCATTTAGTGCTTGTCTGGTACCCTGGACCATTCACAGGATGGGACAAAAATTAGTTCGAACCAATAATCACCCATATTTGGTGGTGTTAATGGACATGATAAAACATATCCTACATTTTGTCTAGTCTTAACCTCAAGCAATAAAAATTATCCCACCTAAAACAAAATCTCTTTCTTGCCCCTTTCTCATTCCCTGTCATCACGATCCACAATCACCTCCCATTTCTGCTCACCTTGCTGGTCATCGCCACAGTTAGTGTCACTACGTCAAGTTTTATGTCAATCCTTTGGTAAGTCTCAGATTTACATTTTTTTTTTGTTTCTTCGTTAAGTACAAAACTCAGATCTATACCCCTTTTTCTCACTTGCAGCAATCCAACAATTCCTGTGTCTTTATTCTTCTCTAGTGCTGAGCTACTAATTCTGGTAAGCCTCTAACCTTTATCTTTGTTTTTGCATATTGCATTTATGCTAACTCTATAGAAAAAATAGAGGAATAACAAGCTTTTGGGTTGGTCAATTATTCATGCTTTTTGTGTGTATTTGGGAGAAGAACTATATGAACTAGCTTGTATATATTAACTACAAATTTTTTCTGGGTTTTTGATAAAAAGATTGTGCAAATTTTTGCTCTTGAACTTTAGTGAGAACCATCTTTCCCCAATATTAAATAAAAGAACAATTGAAACTTATGTCTCTATTTCCTGAAATTCTAGCAGTATGTTGTGATGTTTATCCATATAATGCTCCATGCTGTTTCAATTTTTTCTTTCTATTCTAGCAGTATACCATTTACCATGTATATCTTCTTGGTATGATTATATTTCAGAATGAAGTTGAAACTGCTGAAATTCAGTTCTGGAACTCTTTGGACTTGAGAGCCTATTCTATGTTTACTACTTCTCTATCAGACTCACTCTTATTGTCTTGAGATTAATAGGATTTATTTTGTTTAGGAAAGAGAGATAAGGGTTTGATTGTTTGTGCTGGTTAAATTCTATAGCATGTGGTACTTATGCATGGTCTATGGATGTGTAAGCAGCTGCATCAAAAGGCATCACATTTATTGTAAGCATGAGATTTTAGGTGAGTGTCATAATTAGATGGCACGATATAACTCAGCTATGTTCTAATATATTAAGTGTGAACAGGAAATATTATTTATTTTGACATAATATATAGTTGTATAGATAAACTAAATTACTCAAAGTAGAAAAGAAAATGTGATATGAGTAAATCTCATAATGAATTAAACTAACATGATTAGCCTGTTCTAAACCTATGCTGAATTCACAAATTAACTTGTTCTGTAGGATAGGATTTGGTCATCTTGTTTAATATAAATATGACCATCCATGTCATGGAAGGTGAGATATTTAAAAGCCAATGTAGGATTGCAATTCAACCTTTCACGATTTCACCGTTAACGATAGCATTAACGGCCTCCATTACCAGCTTTGCTCAAGTTTTATGCATGAGTCACATTTCTCTTTTACTTTATTGATTTGCCATTGAAGAAATCTCATTTCTAGGAAAGATATACATGTGCATCGATATTGTTTTCTAATGTCATCTTTATATTAGAATGGTTGTTATAAGTTTTGATGTTAGTCTTTAGTACCAAATTTTGTTATTTTATTTTATTTTTTTTGATTTAGTCTGCAGTATATATATCTATCACGTAAATAATTAAATTGTATGTAATAGACTAGCATACACATTGGCTGATTTAAAAATTGCTTGAATGCATAATAACTACTAGTATGTTGCTGGAAGCATGAATTGGTCCATTAATTGTCACATGGAGTTGTAACAATGGGTTAAGTATACTTGCATCTATAGATATCCCTTAGCAAGTGTTTCATGTGTAAAGATCAGAAGAATGATAATTACCTATTAGATGTCAATGGTTTCAGGTGTTAGAACATAGTAGCTAGAGATTTCATGAGTAAAATTTGCATGTTCTTTTGTATAGTTCTGAATAATTATTTGAAATATAATGATATACTGTTTGAAAATAATTTTAAACGGTTACTGCTGCCAGAGGTGAACTTGGATTTTCTTTTGTCATGACTTTGCTTTAGCTTTCATGTAAACTTAATTTCTAAGTCCCAGTAGGTTTCATAAATCATATATTTATATTCATTATATGGATTGGTTGCTATGATCCTTTTCTTGTTCCTTTTTCCCCAAATGTTTCAGTGCTGCCTCCGATGCTTTCAAAATTTTCTTTTTTTTTACGAGGTTGGTTCTTGTTCATTAATTCACTAGGTTGAGTTTTTGAGAATCTGAAGTAGAAACTTAACCTTGTTTGTTCTCTCCCTGAAAAACAGAATCAGTAAAAAATATGCTAAATTCAGGTGAGCTTACACTTAAAAAATACAAGACACTTTTCAAGTCAATTTGGGACTCAATAGATTTTGTTCTAAAAATTGTCAAAAATGAGATTCAAGTCTAAATTTCAATAGCAAATTTACAGCAAACAAATTATTTTGGTGGATTTAGCTCTATTATTATCTTCTCGAATTTAATTCAAATCTATTCTATTGATTTTATCCAGTCTAATACTATCCCATGCCGCATGCCAAACAAGCCCCTAAGAATCTCTGATTCAGTATTGACACCCATTACTTTGCTACTGACATTTTCTCAACAATTTCTAGATCTCTGCAAGCAGATTTTCAGAATAAATATGTATCGAATCATGAAAAGTAATCCTCTATTGTAGGGCGACAAGAATGGTAAAATACTTTTGTCAAGAAGGCAGAGCTAGAGCTTGGTTGATCTAAGGATCAGACTAACCTTTGATCCGTTGATGCCAGCAAGAGCTTCGATTCTTCTTCTCTGATTCTTGCTGAAGATTTCGTGATATCTTAGTCGATGCAAGGTAGGGCTCCGATTTACTGCTGATCGGCGATCCGCGATCGGCAATCGGCAATTCTTGCTTCAGCTCCTGTGTTCTACTGTTCTGTGCTTCACAGTTACCGTGTTTTGTGATATTTGGATAAAAGCCATGGTTGATTTGCCGGAGGATGTATATTAAAAGTATATTAATTGTATTTTTTTTTTTAATTTGTATAGGGAAATACAAAAAAATTTATCTTTAACAACATTGGCATAGGCATAATTTTAATTAACTTTAATGTCAATTATTAATTATCAATTACATTAAATTTATAT